AACTCTGTCAAAAAAGAAACGCAACCCCTGTCCTCAGATATGAAAAATTCGTTTGAATGAAGTTATTGCTTCCAAACTAAATTTTATTCGAATGTATTGAAATTATACACGTAATTAATGAAGATTACCATCCAAACAACTGCATTTGTACGCATAAGTGTATTTTATTGCTTATTCCGTCACAACGCATGAAATGACCCTCATGGTGACTTCGCACAAAAAAAACACATGCAAATCATGAAAATGGCAGTTAATGTAGGGGTGTATAAAAGCCCATGTGCTTCCGTATTATATTCATTCATTTGTCGCCGAAAGCTGTGTTAAAATGCCACGATTGAGTGCTGCCGACCGAAATATCGCCATTGGTCGTGTTCAAGCCGGAGAAAGTTTTGGAACTGTTGCACGGCACCTAAATGTTCACAAAACAACGATATCCCGACTTTGGAGCCGCTACAACAACTTCAATTTGACCAACGATCGCCCGAGAAGTGGAAGGCCAGAATCACGACCCCCTTCAAGATCGGTACATCCGGGTCCATCACCTGCGTAATCGGCATGCCCTACCAACCGTGACTGCCACACAAATACCAGGTTTGAGGAGAGTGTCAGCTCAAACGATTAGGAACCGTCTGAAGAAGCGGGTTTGCGTGCCTGTAGACCAGTTGTTGGACCTGTACTACGCCCCTACATCGACGCCGACGACTCAGGTGGTGCAACAACGTAAGGATACGGACTTTACAAAACTGGAGGCGAATCTGGTTTTCTGATGAATCACGTTTTCTTTTGCAACGTCACGACGGAAGACAGCGTCTGTATAGGAGACGTCATAAACGTTTTGCGCCCATCTGCGTCCGACAGGTGGACAGATTTGGCGGAGAAAGCGTCATGGTTTGGGGAACCATCTCATACAACCAGAAATCAGACTTGGTGATCGTTCCAGGGAACCTGACAGCCCAACGTTACATCAACCGTGTTAGAGCTTCACCTTCTCCCGATTATTGACCAACAGACACAGATTTTTCAACGGGACAACGCCCGGCCTCATACTGCACGTGCAACAATGAACTTTCTGCAGAATTCCAACGTCAATGTCTTGCCATGACCCTCTAAATCACCAGACCTCAACCCTATTGAACACCTGTGGGATACTCTGGATCGACGCGTACGTCAACGTCAGCCGCCGCCACAGACGCTGCAACAGCTCGCCGTTGCACTGCAGGAGGAGTGGAGAGCCATTCCCCAGGAAAGAATCCGGTGTCTTATCCGTTCTTGTCCAAGGAGATGCCGTGCAGTGATTGCAGCGCGTGGTGCTCATACGAGATACTGAGAAAGACGCCCCCCCTGGTGACAAACTGGTGTCTGTGAGATGACTTTTGAAATGACAATTTTAAACATGACCATCTTGGTTATTATTCTGCCAAATTTCAGACTTCTGTCTTAAATAATAAAAATGCCGTGTCGTCCTAAAACTTCAGATCAAAATCTCTAAAATACAGGGGTTGCGTTTCTTTTTTGACAGAGTTTATGATCCTAGATGCAATGTGTGAAGCCCATTTCTGGTGTCCCCTGTAGTGATATTGCTGGGATATTGCTAAAGGCGACCTAAAACTAAACTCACTCGCTCACATATGACCCATTATCGTCGCGCGGCTTGGACTCTTATATGACCACATTCTTATTAACATAGTGTAGCTGAAAAAATGGATAGCCTTTTGAAGTTGGTTTCTATATTGTAACAATAATTCTCCATCATTATGTACAGTAAATGCAGTTTGCGGGTCATATGAATATAGACGTTTTCAGCCTACAACGTTGTCGTATTCATCCTGCGACTGGAGGTTTGTATATGATGCAGTTTACTGCACTTACAGCACGTGCACACTGCAATCTGCATCAGCTTGACATTTGCATCGTTGAATCCTCCTGTGCAGATATGCAGCTTACCATGATACCACAAGTATGTGTAAATGGTTGGCCATGTTGTATGTTACTCAGGATATTATATGGACAATGCATGTCCTTCTGTTCAATATGGATAATATATATCATTATATGATTTTGATATTGATATCAATGCATGTATACATATATCATTATATGATCTTGATGTCAATGTGTGTCCTTCTGTTCAATATTGAGAATATATATCATTATATGATTTTGATATTGATATCAATGCATGTATACATATATCATTATATGATCTTGATGTCAATGTGTGTCCTTCTGTTCAATATGGAGAATATATATCATTATATCATATTGATATTGATATCAATACATGTATATACATATATGATCTTGATATCAATGTATATCTTATGTTCAATAAGGTTAATATGTATCATTATGTGATCTTGATATCAATGTGTGTCCTTCTTTGTTCAATATATAAATAATATATGTCAATATATGCTATTGACATTGATATCAATGCATGTATATGCCTATATCATTATATCATCTTGATATCAATGCATATCCTTCTATGTTTAATATGGAAAATTTATATCATTATGCGATGTTGACATTGATATAAATGCATGTCTTGTTCAATATGGATAATATATGCAATTGTATGTTATATTTGGGGTTACATTTTCTCAGTTAAGTACAGCTTTTAGTACTATTGTTGGGTTGAGTCTCCTCCGGGATTCGAACCACACACTCAAAGTCTAATAGCCAGGACAATATCAACATTGCTTGATGTGATGTCTCATAAATATGTGACAAATGTGTGACTATACTGCTAACAGCGTTCATTTATGGCAACGCCACGTAGGTTGATGCTGCGAATGTCATACAGTTGATGCCGCCTACATAATGTTATTTGATATAACCCATGGTCCCTAGTATGCTGAACTACAACCTGTTGCTGGAGATCTATAGTCCGTTTGTATATTGTATTGTCACGAATAGTGCTGTTATTTTAACATAACATGCTAGTTGTAATTCTGTGATATTCTAGTCGGTTTACTGTCCATCGTCGACAGGTTTGTATTGTAAAGATAATCAATGTCAAATTTGATCTCGTCACGATGTGGCTGAAATATTGCCGATGTGACGTTAAATATTAACTCTCTCACTTTTTGATGTAATGTAGTGTAGTGTAGTGTAGCCTATGTGTCGTGTAGTGTAGTGTAGTGTAGCGTTGTGTAGTGTAGTGTAGCCTAGTGTAGTGTAGTGTAGTGTAGTGTAGCGTTGTTTAGTGTAGTGTAGTGTAGTGTAGTGTAGTGTAGTGTAGTGTAGTGTAGTGTAGTGTAGTGTAGTGTAGTGTAGTGTAGTGTAGTGTAGTGTAGTAGTGTAGTGTAGTGTAGTGTAGCGTAGTGTAGTGTAGTGTAGTGTAGCGTAGTGTAGTGTAGTGTAGTGTAGTGTAGTGCAGTGTAGTGTAGTGTAGTGTAGTGTAGTGTAGCGTAGTGTAGTGTAGTGTGGTGTAGAGCAGTGTAGTTTAGCGTAGCGTAGTGTAGTGTAGTGTAGTGTAGTTTAGCGTAGCGTAGTGTAGTGTAGTGTAATGCAGTGTAGTTTAGCGTAGTGTAGTGTAGTAGTGTAGTGTAGTGTAGTGTAGCGTAGTGTAGTGTAGTGTAGTGTAGCGTAGTGTAGTGTAGTGTAGTGTAGCGTAGTGTGGTGTAGTGTAGAGCAGTGTAGTTTAGCGTAGCATAGTGTAGTGTAGCGTACTTTAGTGTAGTGTAGTGTAGTGTAGTGCAGTGTAGTTTAGCGTAGCGTAGTGTAGTGTAGTGTAGTGTAGTGTAGTGTAGTGTAGTGTAGTGTAGTTTAGCGTAGCGTAGAGTAGTGTAGTGTAGTTTAGCGTAGTGTAGTGTAGTGTAGCGGAGTGTAGTGTAGTGTCAAGTGTAGTGTAGTGGTTAAAGCATTCGCTCGTCACACCGAAGACCCGGGTTCGATTCCATACATGGGCACAATGTGTGAAGCCCATTTCTAGTGTCCCTCGACGTTATATTGCTGGAACATTGCTAAAGGCGGCGTAAAACCTTACTCACTCACGCCTATATCACGGTATTCTCAAAATGGAGTACATCATGTACTTTGACATACAAACGTATCACCAATTGTCCCACATTTAAAAGTATATATGAAATACCGTCAGCAATTAGCCTACATTGCTGTATCGCCTGTACTACAGACTGTTCATGTTGTCTGGGATTTCTACCAGCTGTTCGTATCCATGTATATCTGTGGTTGAGATTCTCATACTGGTTTTCCTTTACACCTGGATATGAACAATTGTTGTATTTTCCTTTACACCTGGATATGAACAATTGTTGTATTTTCCTTTACACCTGGATGTGAACAATTGTTGTATTTTCCTTTACACCTGGATGTGAACAATTGTTGTATTTTCCTTTACACCTGGATGTGAACAATTGTTGTATTTTCCTTTACACCTGGATATGAACAATTGTTGTATTTTCCTTTACACCTGGATATGAACAATTGTTGTATTTTCCTTTACACCTGGATATGAACAATTGTTGTATTTTCCTTTACACCTGGATGTGAACAATTGTTGTATTTTCCTTTACACCTGGATATGAACAATTGTTGTATTTTCCTTTACACCTGGATGTGAACAATTGTTGTATTTTCCTTTACACCTGGATGTGAACAATTGTTGTATTTTCCTTTACACCTGGATGTGAACAATTGTTGTATTTTCCTTTACACCTGGATGTGAACAATTGTTGTATTTTCCTTTACACCTGGATATGAACAATTGTTGTATTTTCCTTTACACCTGGATGTGAACAATTGTTGTATTTTCCAGCAGGTGAGGGTCTTTGATACGCCATTCAAGAAACATCTTCATCAATCATCGCCCGGGCTGCTCTAACATCATGTGTTGTACTGACTAAACACACAGAAGATGATATGGACATATATACGAGAAGATAGGACCAACAGCGTACTGGCCGTGGCATTGCACTTCAATCAATGAATTCTCTACGAGCTCTACGGACTGTGCTGACCTGAGCCGTCACAATACATCACGGTACATTGTAACAGTTGATAATACATTGTAATACATCACGATATATATTGTAATAGTTGCAATACATTGTAATACATTACAATACATCACAATACATTGTAATAGTTGATAATACATCACAGTACATTGCAATAGTTAATAATACATTGTAATACATCACAATACATGGTTATAGTTGATAATACATTGTAATACATCACAATACATCGTAATAGTTGACAATACAATTGCACTAAATCACAGTACATACTAATAATTGACACCATATTACAATGCATCAAAGTACATCGTGATATCTGACAACACATTGCAATACATCACAGTACATCCTAATGTATCCTAATAATTGATAGGAGATTGCAATGAGTTACATTGCATTGTAATAGTTGACGATACAATGCAATACATCACAGTACAAGATAATAATTGACACTACATTACAATGCATCAAAATACATCGTAATAGTCAACAATACATCACAATACATCAACATACATCACCACAAAATGGCGTGCCTCGCTGATCTGCTCTAGTTATCACCCTTGCGTCAAAATTCCCTCAGTTTGGATACCGGAAACATGGACACCAAGGTGATATTCAGTCGGAAACCCCCACGTGAACACAACGGGTACCAGGAGGACTACGGCAGCGACAAAGTGTACGACGGCGAGTACTCCGACGACGATGATGTGTTCGTCGAGGACCCCATCCTTGACGGGTCCTCTGCCACGAAACCCCTCATGCACCCCAGACAAAGAGCAAGGGTGAAAAGTCGGCGACCAGACTGCAAATGTAGACTCCTCATCCGGCCAATTCTCTATTTCCTGTTGCTAGTTGCCTCCCTTGGAGGACTCATGGTTCTCATATTGTTCCTGGTGAACCGGTATCAACACCGCTTCGATTTTGTAACACAGAAGCTGATTGGTGGAAAGGGTGCTGAGAGGATGGCTGTGATTGGCTGTGATAACATAGAGGTGGAGGATGTTTGGGTGGTTGGGATGCCCAAGATGTTGACTGAAACTGCCTTCAGGATGGTGGAGGTGAACCAGGATGGAGTACTGGATGTCATCATGGGATTTGCCACAGGTAAAACATATACTCTTAACAAAAAGTAGGGGAACTTCATTTTGAATTTACCACTGCAATAATTGGCAGATATAATGAGTCAGTCAATGTTGATTTAAGAAATACAGTTCGCTCTACCACCATGTATAGTGTAATAAAACCCTTGCGTCCGAGTGCTTTAACGTTATAATAGTTCAGGGCAAAAGTGTGCTTTATTACACTATACATTATGGTAGAGCGAACTCTATTTCTTTTCTAAGATGTCAAATTTAATACTTTCTAAGGATAATTACGATTAATTTAAGGCAGAAAACAAACGACGGTGCCGGTGACCTAAATTAAGAATCCTCGCACAGGGCTTACTCGCGAGCTGTTCTATTGATGTGTCTGCCCCCCTACGTTAAGACGAACGTTACCAGAAAAAAACAAATGATAACAGTTTGATGACGGTTTACGTTCGGATTAAATATCTTCTCTGAATTATTTTAATTACATCTGTCATTAACGTAAACCATATGGGGCAATATGAACGTCGCATTTCTACTACCACCGTAACTTTAGATCAGTACATCCAGATGAAGCTGAGTAGTCAAGCGACATTCCACGATTGCATTGTGGGAATGTAAACATTGCGAACATTACCGTGTCTCTGAAAACTTGTGAGTCGAATTGACACATTTTAACCGTCGTAAAACATAAACGTAATGTTTCCACCAGTGATGTTAGCTGCGTGAAGCAACTGCAAGCCAAAAAACGGGATGCAACGGTGTAGTTTACTGTAGGAGGCCGTACGAGGCGATGACAACTGACATGCATCGTGACGTCGCTTACATTGTGACGTAATGTAAAATGGTTCGATTACGAGGGGGCACACTAGAATTGTTACGTCATCAAAAAACTATACCTTTTTTGTCTGATAATATATTTTTTTTCGATTGTTCTAACCGCTAGGCATCTTTGAAATGATAATAATGAATGTTTTGAGAGTGCATCACCACCTGCACTTCCTTATGACCATAGTTGTTTGTACAGTAATCTTGAAAGATTATTGTGCATGACGTGAAATTTGCATGTGCACTATTTTCATTTTCAAACAAAACAAAATCGGCCAGAAACAAACACTAACAACTGTGTGATGAAAGATGATTGTCCAACTTAAAGGTCTACTGTGATGTATCGACCTTCTTGAAATCCGTCAAAATCAATAATGACACCCCATGCACGTGTATTGTGCCACTGCTTTGTGCACGTGCATCCTACGCATTGTGTTTAGGGGTGGTGATAAAGAGAATGGTGGTGCCCCGCACTCAGCAATATTCCAGCTGTATGGCGGCGGTTGTACATAATCGAGTCTGGACCAGACAATCCAGTGATCAACAGCATGAGCATCGATCTATGCTACTGGGTTACGATGACATGTGTCGACCAAGTCAGCGAGCCTGATTATCTCGTACCGTGAGTCGCATCTCAAGACAAGCATGGGTTGCTGAAGACGTAGTCTAACCCGGATCTTCTCTGTGATCTAAAGGTGATGAGTGTCCTGTATGTTATAAATATTTATAGTCTGTAAAACCTAGACCCTAAACACAAACCTCTACACGTTCCTTGCTCCATAATTTAGACGTGTTTCAGATTTAGGGCTGTTTTAACAGCTCAAGGTATTTGGGGTCAGTTGAGTGAAACAAATGCTTTTCGCCTTGAAATTCCTTATTGGTATCGTGCTGTTTGTTTCGGTGTTACACTGGGATATACATGTACTGGGGGAAATTGGTAAAGTTAATGGTCTATCGACGTAACCTTCACATATTACGTTTCGTGAGAGAAATAAAGCATTTTGAGTGAGTGAGTTGGCTTTTATGCCGCTTTTAGCAATATTCCAGTAATATCACGGCGGGGAACACCAAAAATGTCCTTCACACATTGCACCAATGTGGAGAATCAAACCCGGGTCTTCGGCGTGACGAGAGGACGCTTTAACCACTAGGCTACCCCATCGCCCCTATTTTTACTTGAAGCACATTTATGGCAATTGTACACAAGGGTTATAACGAACGAGTATAGGGACTACTAATTTAAGTTCGTTATAACCGAAGTTAGTTATGCGTTTCGAGTAATCAGGAAGCAAGAAACCGTGACCACAGTTCTTTAAAAAGAATGTTCGTTTTAAACGGAGTGTATTGCAATATTGATATTAAAACATATTTCATTATTCTACGTCTGTGTTTTGACACGTCAATTCTCAAAAGAGATTAATAACATATGTCTTACAGATTGTGATTTCTGAAATTATCTTTTACGTTCCATTATTTCACAAAAACTTGCAGAAGAGCAAAAACTATTTTTGGCGTTTTCGTCAAAGAGGTTAGAATAAGAAATGGATCTTCTAAAAACTATAAAAAATTTGAAACCTTTAAAGCAAATCTAAGTGATCCGCTAATGCAGCTTGACATTTGTAATTTTGTAATCCGTTTTTATATCATCACCTGCGGAAACGAAATACGAGTCATGTACTTCAGCGCCACGAACGATTGAGGAAGCACTAATTGTCTATTGCTCAAGGGAAATGTCAGAATCACAAATGTCAGATGAAGCTGGGCTAGATACGGCGTTGATGTAGCTGACGCTGGATGCTATATGACTGAACACTGCCTCGTAAAGCTATCACGTTAGACAATACTTGAAGGTATAATCATATTGATTACATTATTATTGGAATTGGATTTGAAATTGAAATCAAACACATTTGTTTTAACTTCGGTTGCTCATTGTCTCGTTGATGGGTGTATGTTCGTGGATGTCCCTCCGGGGTTGTTTCTGATGTTGGAGAGTGCAGATTATCTCAGTGGTGTGTTTTGTATCCGTGAAGATCCGGGTTAGAATTGATCTTCAGCAACCCATGCTTGTCTCTATCCGTGACGATCCGGGTTAGAATTGATCTTCAGCAACCCATGCTTGCCTCCCCGTGACGATCCGGGTTAAAATTGATCTTCAGCAACCCATGCTTGTTTCCCGTGAAGATCCGGGTTAAAATTGATCTTCAGCAACCCATGCTTGTTTCCCGTGAAGATCCGGGTTAAAATTGATCTTCAGCAACCCATGCTTGTTTCCCGTGAAGATCCGGGTTAAAATTGATCTTCAGCAACCCATGCTTGTCTTCCCCGTGAGGAACCGGGTTAAAATTGATCTTCAGCAACCCATGCTTGTCTTCCCCGTGAAGATCCGGGTTAAAATTGATCTTCAGCAACCCATGCTTGCCTCCCCGTGACGATCCGGGTTAAAATTGATCTTCAGCAACCCATGCTTGTCTTCCCCGTGAGGATCCGGGTTAAAATTGATCTTCAGCAACCCATGCTTGCCTCCCCGTGACGATCCGGGTTAAAATTGATCTTCAGCAACCCATGCTTGTTTCCCGTGAAGATCCGGGTTAAAATTGATCTTCAGCAACCCATGCTTGTTTCCCGTGAAGATCCGGGTTAAAATTGATCTTCAGCAACCCATGCTTGTCTTCCCCGTGAGGATCCGGGTTAGAATTGATCTTCAGCAACCCATGCTTGTTTCCCGTGAAGATCCGGGTTAAAATTGATCTTCAGCAACCCATGCTTGTCTCTATCCGTGACGATCCGGGTTAGAATTGATCTTCAGCAGCCCATGCTTCTCTCCACGCTTCAAGATCCGGATTAGAATTGATCTTCAGTAAGCAATGCTTGTCTCCACGCGTGAAGATCCCGGTTTGAATTGGTCTTCGGTAAGCAATGCTTGTCGTAAGAGGCGAATAACGGGATGGATTTGTCAGGCTTTCTCACTTGGTTGACACATGTCATCGTAACCCGATTGCGTAGATCGATGCTCATGATGTTGATCACTGGATTTCTAGCCCAGACTCGATAATTTACAGATCGACGCAATATATCCGGAATATTGCTGAGTGTGGCAATAAACAAAAAGCAAACAACCAAACAAAGAAAACTGACAAGATATTCGAAACATTACTTACCTTCCATCTGTGTTTAACGTCATTGTTTGAAGCGGTGGTTGACTCTCAGTTTGAAGACGATGCACTGTCATTTAGCCTAAGATAATGTCAACACATGGCCATTTGTTCACGTAGCTCGTCACTCACGACGTTGAGCTGTCGTCCACTAATTGACAGTGTCAATCGATACAACGGAAAAGGACATTGTCAGCTCTATCTCGATGTGGCGGCGGACATTGTTCCCACACGCGCGTCTTCTCGCGTTACCATAGTAACATCATTTTCCTCTTTGCTTCATTGGCCTTTCTGCTCTCGGAGTATATAGTGTGTGTTTATAATTGATTATTGCATCTTTATCAGCTGTATTTTACATTTTGTGGCTTAGTGAGAATGACTTAAGTTTTACGCCGCTTTTAGCAATATTCCAGCAGTATCACGGCGGGGACACCAGGACTGGGCTTCACACATTGTACCCATGTGGGGAATCAAACCCAGGTCTTCGGCGTGACGAGCGAACGCTTTAACCACTAGGCTACCCCACCGGTTGTATCCCATAACCCCTTACATGCCACTACCCCTACATGCCACTACCCCTACAGCCCAGTACCCCTACAATTAGTTAAAACAACACACGGCATTTACCTGTCTGGCATAATGAACTGACCCAAAGAGAGATTAGTGCATAGAGTATACAGATGAGATCAAGGGAGGGATTAAACTGTTCTTTAGTGTTTTGTGTCAAGGAAATTTGGGATTAGTTGTGTGTTGTTATGTCTCTTAAGTGGATTAGTCCATTGTGTGGAATAGGTAACAGGCAGTGGATTAACAGTGCAACAGACCGTAAACTATGTTGTTATAAGCTGTAGGGGTAGTGGCATGTAGGGGTAATGGGGGGTTACCACCCCACCGACCCTTTGTGGCTTAGTGAAATATTATCACCGTCAGGTCAAGAAACAATCAGAAACTCACGTGGTCAGTGCAGGTGTCATAAAATAATGTGTTGGGGCGTGCCTGACATTACACTGCCGAGCAAACAGAAGTACTTCCCATATATGTCCTTGGCTTAATTTTCAGGGTACATGTATAAAATCATATTATTTTTAACCAAACTAAAGGCCTAAGTATTTTCTATAAAAATTAAAAACAACAACGTACCGTTACACTGTTTTTGTGTGTCTGTTAATTCTTGCTATTATTTAAATTTTCTGAGGCGTAGTTATTTTTCAAGCATTTGCAGCCCAATATTCTTTTTTATTCGAAAAAAGTCACAGGAACATGCATCAAATGTTTGGTACCTGAGAGGCGACTGGCTGGGTCAGAGCATGAGAAACGCCGATGAATGTGAAGGTCAAGGTCAACGTCGGTCAGTGGTCTCTTTGGCCACCATTAGATAAATCACGTTGAAAATTAACTCCCTGTTCATATCTGATAAATGAAACCTTTCATATTTCCACCATATTTGGACGAGTACATAGGTTGAAGACGACGTCATTTACTCTATGTTTCCGTTCTTTAAACAGGAGCTGACGGCTATGGGATACCGGACATCGTGTGTGATATTTATTTTAACGGTACGAAACCATGTTTCGGCGGATTACTCGCCCTTGACGGAAGGACGGGGAAGGAGCTATGGCGGCATTACGCTCAGCACGAGATGTATGGAGTCAACTGCAACGTAGACCTGAATGGCGACGGTGTCCTTGACTGCCTGGGTGGAGGGAGAGCGGGGGTAAGTTTGAGTGAGTGAGTGAGTTTAGATTTACGCCGATCTCAGCAATATTCCAGCTATATGGCGGTGGTCTGTGAATCAGAAGAGACAGTTTTCATTAGAATGAGCATCGATCTACGCAACTGGGATACGATGACTTGTGTGAACTAAGTCAGCGACCATGACCACCCGATCCCGTTAGTCGCCTCTTTCTACAAACACGGGTTACTGAAGATCAATTCTAAACCGGATCTTCACGGGTAAGTTTGACGTGAACTGAGCTTCACACTTTTTACCCATGTGGAGAATCGAACCTTCGGTATTTGCCGTGACGAGCGAAATCTATAACCTCTAGGCTACCCCACCAGCAAACGTGCTGATGAAGGTCAGGTAACTAAAACATTGCTTTATAGTCAAATCATTGGCGGATGAATGAATATCATTTTACACCGCTTTGAGCAATATTCTCGCAATATCAAGGTGTTGAACACGAAAATCGATACCTTCATATTGTATTCATGGAGAAAGTCGACCATGGGTGCTCGCAAGACGAGCCAACACTTACACCACAAGCCTATCTTACTGCTGTTGTATGTGAATTGTGTTAAACTTAACTATCCCTATTTTAGGTATATATAGTCAAATGATTACATAGAGTTCCATTACACACGTTAATGCATTAAACGTCACCCTATAGGTCTTCACCGCTGATAAACGTCAGGAAATTAATTACAATTTCTGATTGATAACAATGTAAATGGATGTTACAGACTGAAACGATCCCATGACGCTACAGTACATACTGGCATTAATGTATATATCTATTCTTAAACTCACGCGTCACAGAAACAATCCTGATTTTTCTAACCGTGTGTTCAAATGTCTCAGATATTTTTAGCCAATGAATGTTGCTGTAATATCCATAAGAATCCATAATCGATTATAACATAGTTGTTTATGGATAGTGAACAATACGTAAAATATATAAAATAATGTACGAGGTTATTTTCGCAGTGACTTATCTTTCTAATCTCAGTCACACAATCACCCACTCACTCATGCTGAAGACCTGGGTTCGATTGCCCACATGGGTACAATGTGTGAAGCCCATTTCTGGTGTCCCCCGCGGTGATTTTGCTGGAATAATATTATTGCTAGAAACGGCGTAAAAACTCACTCACTCACTGACCCAACCGTCCACCCACTAACTCATCCAACCAACCAATGCTATCACTCACTCACTCACAAGCCAAACAACTCACCACCAAACGAAACAACCAACCAATTGTATCATTCACCCACAAGCCAAACAACTCACCACCAAACCAAGCAACCATCCAATACACTCACTCACTCACCACTCACTCTAATCATTAAGCGCGTTGTACCTCGCATTCTTCAACAATGCAAAGCAAGTCATCTAGGCGAGACGCTGATTTAATCACCTCATGTGCTCGCAGCGAAAACTCTCCAGTAACTCGATAAGCAGATGGATTGCGGGGATCGATTGATTTACACGCATACCACAACAAGCATATCTCTATCGTAATGTTATCACGGATACTTGGCAGCGTGCCAAAGGGTGATGGCTGTCAGATTAATACAATGTTAAGTTGTCAGTTCGTGTAGAAAGACAGCCACATATAAATTACCCACTCACAGATAAAACAACGACAGTTTATAAACGTGTTTGAAGACGAGTAAAAGACCCCAGTTTCGTTGTTTAAGATAATCAGTCCATTTACAATGAAGAAGTTTCAATTGATCAAGAGAATGCTCATAGCGCTAAGCTTTTATTACCCCAGTCAATCAATGTTCATTCTCGGTTTTCCTGGCGTGAATGCAATCCAACCTGCCTTTGACGCTATGAGAGTAATATTTATATGATCTCATCCTCCCGGGTACCCGTTAACTGCTTGGTGAACAGAGGGATTGTTTGACATGCCACCTATCTAAGGAGAAAGTACGTGTAGCAAGTGTTTTAGAGTAGGGCCTCACAGAAGAGTCAGTGTGTTGAACATTAGCTGGTGGGCGAGCAGAGGTATTAGTTAAAATGTCTCTTGTCTCAGGAGACACGACATGTAACGTACTTCAGTGTGGGCAAAACACAGAAGATTTGGTAACACAGGAGTCAATGTGTTGAATACTAGCTGGTGGGCGAGCAGAGGTATTAGTTAAAATGTCTCTTGTCTCAGGAGACACGACATGTAACGTACTTCAGTGTGGGCAAAACACAGAAGATTTGGTAACACAGGAGTCAATGTGTTGAATACTAGCTGGTGGGCGAGCAGAGGTATTAGTTAAAATGTCTCTTGTCTCAGGAGACACGACATGTAACGTACTTCAGTGTGGGCAAAACATAGAAGATCTGGGAACACAGGAGTCAATGTGTTGAATACTAGCTGGTTGGCGAGCAGAGGTATTAGTTAAAATGTCTCTTGTCTCAGGAGACACGACATGTAACGTACTTCAGTGTGGGCAAAACATAGAAGATCTGGGAACACAGGAGTCAATGTATTGAATACTAGCTGGTTGGCGAGCAGAGGAATTAGTTAAAATGTCTCTCTTGTCTCAGGAGACATGTGCTCGACATGTATAACGTAATTTCAGTGTGGGCAAAGGAAATGTCACTTGAAGATCTGGGAACACAGGAGTCAATGTATTGAATACTAGCTGGTTGGCGAGCAGAGGTATTAGTTAAAATGTCTCTTGTCTCAGGAGACACGACATGTAACGTACTTCAGTGTGGGCAAAACATAGAAGATCTGGGAACACAGGAGTCAATGTGGGCGAGCAGAGGTATTAGTTAAAATGTCTCTTGTCTCAGGAGACACGACATGTAACGTACTTCAGTGTGGGCAAAGCAGAGAAGATCTAAAGCACAGAAGTCAATGTGTTGAATATTAGCTGGTGGGAATACAGAGGTAATATGCAAACTGTCTCTTGTCTGAGGAGATGCCACTTCTAGCGTGTGCATCAGAGTAAGGTGGCACAGAAGATCTGGAAAATCATTTGTTGCTTGTGAACGACGATGCTGCATGCACTGATGCCCTTTATAAGACGTTATCAGCGCCAGGTGTCAAACTGAAACGTTGTTGCTTAGTCGGATGTGTAGTCAACATTTTGAGAACGACAAAGTTTGTTTTGTTTTTGTGTTACGAGGGAGGAGTGCAGAGAAACGGACAGCCAGGTGTGCGAGAAGCACGTGCACAAGTGCCCACCAAGTTATTGATTCATTAGCCTGTGCTGTGCCGTCTCCATCCTTTCTCGCACACCTGGCTGTCCCTTTCTCTGCTCTCCTCCCTCGTAACAAATAGTGAACTGTGTCAAAATTTTAATGATAGTTTCTTAGAGAACTTTTTTGGTGGAGTCCGGAAAATTTTCAAATATAAGAAAGCTGTTGGGTATTAGTAAATGATAAACATGTGTACCATTTATATTTATGTGGCAATTTTGTACAATGATAAAATTTGCAATTCATCGGTCCGTTTCTGACTCAAACGAACTGTAACTGCTTGAACACTTCCGGAACTTCGGATGACACACGACGACTGTGCCTACATCAGCACAAGGAACGGTTTCCGACAGAAAATGACTGCACATCATCATGAAAGTTATCAATCTCTGCGTGTTGGAAGTACTATTATCTCTTCAGTATTCCGTGTTCGAGCTATCCCCGGCCATCGTCAATGGTAGTAAGAGACATCGTAATGGATGGGCTTGTCACTGACACAGACGCCGTGGCTTGTCTGATTACGTGTCATGACACTTCGACATCGTGGGTCGTTGATCACACCATCAATCACTCGCTGTAATACAACACGATTATACACATAGCGTTGCTGTACTTGGCATCTCAGTTTCCTGTAATAATCTGTCTTAGCATTTCTGAGTTAATTTATCTCAAGCAGCATTCTCTAAGCCTCTTCTTTATCAATTCTAAAGTCAATGTGTTTGTTTTCGTTTGTTGCGAAACGCCGCTCTCAGCAATATTCCAGCTATATGGCGCGGTCTGTAAATAATCGAGTCTGGACCAGACAATCCAGTGATCAACAGCATGAACAATGATCTACGCAATTGAGATACGAGCCTGACCACCCGACCCCACTAGTCTCTTACCACAAGCATGGGTAGCTGAAGACGTATTGAAACAAATGTGCACATTTTGAAAAAGGCACAGGCGTATGGTAACAGTTGATGTTTCAAATACATTGTCGAAGTTTAGTGACATTTTTGACATGTGCCCATGAATGGTTTTGTGAAAATTACAAAAATGGTCTCTGATTGTCTCTGCTGACATTATCATAGTTTTTAGTCTGCACAGAGGATTCATCAAGAGCGGTTTTTGATGGGTTCATTTATTTATATACTTAATGGAAACAAAACATCTTTACCATAGTTAATGGAAAGTTGCCGAAGCAAATATCAATTAAATGGGACAAGGTGATGAATTATTGATTTCATTTATCAGTATGCATTACTGTTTATTTCTTAGGAACTAAATGCATCAAAACCAACATAATAAACTTGTCGAAATCGTGCGCAGTTGTACATGTTGCCTTATGACTCCATTTGGGAGAGAAACAAGTTCCTGGATATTTGAATACGCAGTGCAGTCTAGAAAGTGGTCAAATGTAACACATGTTATATTTGCAATTAGACCCGGGTTCGAATCCCTATCTCAGTGGAATATTGCTAAAAGCGGCGTAACACTATCTCAGTAAAGTACAGATTCTAGTACTTTTGATGGGTTGAAACTCATCCTGTATTCAAACCCATACTCTCAAAGTGAGGCACCTAACCCGCTCAGCCACTGCGACTTCCATAAGGAAGGCGGCTGAACATGAATGAGTGTGCTGGCGATTGAGTGCCTGACTATGTGGGTATGGGTTCGAATCCCGGATGGAACTCAAACAAAAGTACTAGATCTGTACTTATCTGAGAAAGCGTTATCCCAAATATAACATATGTTCTTAGGTATGTGAAAAAAATATGTAGAAGAATTGAAACTTTAATGACGTGACATTGTCATTTGATAAAGTCTCTGGTACAATCTCGCACTCACAGAGAAAAAAACCCCCCAAACCAACACTTCAGGTTATCTAATTTGGATTCCCATGCTACTGGGGGATAACATGTATGGGTTTTTTTTCTGACATACGCTTATGCTCCAGGGAAACGTAGTTATATGGTAAATGTTTTTCTGGGTTTCACTACCAAATCAATAATCTTCTCAAAATGTCAACAAGTTTCGAACTAAAAAATGTAATATCACCTTTGAGTAATAACTTACAAGTTTTCCATGAGAGAAAGACAGGATCCCGGCAGGTTCTGATGCCCCATGAAGCCAGAGACATCCTCTTCTCAGAAAGGCGACTGAAAACGATGTATTCAGACCTATTTGCGTGCCTTTTAACGGATATATATTTCACCTTTAATATGAACCCAGTTTGGTGTGAGAGCGTGACATGGGTACTTAAAGCTAGATGATGTGTTTGATTTAATATTGTTGTTAGCTAAATTCTTCATATATAAATGTAAAGTATTATTAACTACTCTTAGTTTTAAACATTTTAGACATTATTTACAAGACAGGTATTTTATTGAAAAGAATATATTCTTCAGTAAAAGTGAACAAGATAAGTTTTATAAAAAGTGGATGTTATATCATGATTTTACAAATTTTAAATGACTTTCTGAATTCTTTCTTCTTGTTCCCTAATGAAAAAAAATGTAGGCTGAATGAACTTGAACTTAAACTTACTGTAAATATTTGAAGCTTGTAAGTGTGATTGGTGAGTGAATGTGTTATGGTGTCTGGTGTTGTTGTTTTGTGCTTTGTTTAATTTATTTTCTGTTTTTCCTGTTATCAATGACGTTTTCATGCAAAGGACCTCAGAGTCCCCTGGCTCTATTGCCTTTTCTGTAACAGGGGAAGCAGGAAATAAAAATGATCAATTATGAAAAAACAGCTAGAGACTCAAGCCAAATGCGTAAGAGTTGGCAGGTATGCAAACAGCGGAACATCAGGCGAGGTACTCTCATAAACTCGCCCGTGGTGCACCAACCGGGAAATTGGTCGAGTTCCGTCTCCAGGGACCACTTTCCTGCACCCGTAGTCAGAGCACGCGCAGCGGAGGGAGCAGTAAATTGAAGGAGATCATGTGTAACTTGGGTTGCCATCGTCTCTCTCCTCGAAATGAGAACCAGGAGGAATCGATAGTCTTCATTTAGATCACTGCACACTCTGTCTCTTGTTATTCCCTGCTATTGTGACTCTGACATTGAGTAATGCTGATCCGCCGCATCAGGGAGTTGTGTCGGCAGTTGAGATAAATGAAATAAGCCGTCGAAAGTTGTCTCCCTTCCCGGAACTGCTTCAGCAGCTGTTCCCAAGTCTAACATTTGAGGGACAAGCACAAGAACGAAACCACCCTGCAGTCACGCCAAGCAGGTCTTGGATCATGTGACGTGGGTGATGTAGGGGTGGGGATGTAAGGTTGGGGAGTGTGTGTGTGTGTGTGTGTGTGTGTGTGTGTGTGTGTGTGTGTGTGTGTGTGTGTGTGTGTGTGTGTGTGTGTGTGTGTGTGTGTGTGTGTGTGTGTGTGTGTGTGTGTGTGTGTGTTGTGTCTGAGGCACGCCGTTTTGCTTTTTGGGCCCCTCGAGCATCCGGGTTAGAATGGGTCTTCAACAACGCATGCTTGCTAAGAGGCGACTGACGGGAACGGGTGGTGAATGTCATGTCATGTCATCGTATCACAAATGCGCAAACCGATCATACTGTCAATCACTGGATTGTCTGGTCAGGACTCGGTTATTTACAAACCGCCGTCATATAGCTGGAATATTGCAGGTTGCGGCGTTAAACAGCAAACAAACAAACAATATTTGCCTTTTTGAAAAATATCTTAGAAAACATTAAATACATTTGTTGTGACAATCTGCAACAAAACACAACTGAACACAAATTGTTGTGTGATATACAACCATGACCATAATGGTAGAGCGACATATATGCGAAAAATGCGAATGATCTTTGCTCGCATAAATTAAACATCGCAATTAGGTTTTAAGTGTTTATTTGTTTGTTTGTCGTTTAACGCCACACTCTCTCATCCACATCCACACACCTGCACGCCCACATACAATACGCTCGTTCACAGCCGTTATTGCTGGTTGAGGACATGTATCAAATGGTAGACTGTACATACAAATGACGTGTGTCAACACCAGGGCATGTATACTTGCAGACGTTCCAGGCTATCAGTGGAAAGGACGGACAGCTCTTGTGGGACTTCGGCGAGCAGGAATCTCGGAACAGCATTATGAACTTGTACACCGCGCAGGTCGTCGCTGACCTCGACCATGATGGTGTAGTGGATGTCCTGGCTGCCCACGGCGGCGACCCTCTGCAGGATCCTGGTAAGGGGAGTCGTTAATGTCCTGATGACAACATCATGAACAAAACCTGATATTGATTTAATTTCAGAATATTATTCCATTGTGCAGATTGCTCAGGTTCCAATCTGCGTTTACAGGGAGCGAGTATCGCCTGACGGGCCGACTCATCTTCTTCAGCGGCCGCACCGGTGAGGTCTTGCGGTGGGTGGGGGTGCCGGATGAGAGGGAGACGTACTACTCACCCCAGGTGTACACACAGCTAGATGGGACGCAGGTAGTGCTGTTTGGGACTGGAGGAGAGACACATGCAGGGTCGCTGTGGAGGATCACCCTCAACCATCTATACAAGGGCCAGGTGCACAAGGTGGGTGCAGAATGCTACAAGAGACGGTAGGTAAATTGTTAAAAGAGGCGCTAGGTAAATAGGACGCCCATATGCTGGAACAGGTGGCTGGTAAACAAAATGCCTATATGCTGAAAAAGAAGTACTAGGTAAACAGAAGGCGTACATGCTGAAAAGCAGCGCTATGTAAACAGAAGGCCTGTATGCTGAAAAAGACACCGAATAGTTGGCTGACTGAATGACTGAGTTTAGTTTTACGCCGCTTTTGCAATATTCCAGCAATATCACGGCGGGGGACACCAGAAATGGGCTTAACTGAATAGTTGGACGGTGCCCAACAATTTTGTTGATATCTGTGAAGAGCGGGTAAAAGTGTTTAAAGCCATGTACATTCTATCCATTTGACACCTGATAATGTATCAGATATTGGGAAATTGTCATTGCAGTAGTGATCAATGAGATGATCAGTAAGTCTGTTTCATGCTCCCTGTTTTAAACGCCTTTCGTCTTATGCGTTCGCTACTATGTTTCAGGCTGTGCCAATATACTCTGATGAATATAAGGGGGTCATGACGCCGCCGGTGCTTATAGACATTACGGGGGATGGCGTCCAGGACATTGTCATTTCCACCTTCAACTCCAGCACCATCGCCTTCAACGGCCACGACTACACTCAGCTGTGGAACTACACCCTCCCTCTGTCGGAGTCGTACAGGTAAACGTGGCAGTGCCAATACTATTTATATGTTAACACGACAGTGCCAATACTCTATGTATGTTAACACGATAGGGACAATACTATATGTATGTTACCACGATAGGGACAATACTATATGTATGTTAACACGATAGGGACAATACTATATGTATGTTAACACGATAGGAACAATACTATACGTATGTTAACACGACATCGACAATACTAGACGTATGTTAACACGATAGGGACAATACTAGACCTATGTTAACACGACATGGACAATACTATATGTATGTTAACACGATAGGGACAATACTAGACGTATGTTAACACGATAGGGACAATACTAGACGTATGTTAACACGATAGTGACAATACTAGACGTATGTTAACATCACACTGCCAATACTTTTTGCAGGCTAATAAGTCATTGTCAATACTATACGTAGATTAACCATACAGTGTCAGAACTGTATGTAGGTAGACACGAACAGGGCGGTGGGATAACCTAGTGGTTGAAGCGTTCGCTTGTCACGGCGAAGTCCCGGGTTCGATTCCTTAGAAGAATATAATGTGCGGAGCCCATTTCTTGTGTCCCCCCCCCCCCCTCGATATTGCTGGAATTTTGCTTAAAGCGGTGTAAAACCATACTCACTGACTCACTCACTGACTCACTAGGCACGAGTACTTAAAGACGACAGCAGTACTGTATATATGTTACAGTCAATCTGTCAAACCAGTCATTTAGTCATATGACTGAAACGATGTCATTTGGTCAAATGACTAAAACAATGAGGCATTTGGCCAAAAGACTCAAATTATCAGTCATTTGACCAAATGACTAAATCATTTATGCTAAAAAATGAAACACACAAAAAAATAAGTGAACATTTTATTTATCCAGTTTTAACATAGAGCTTTGCATTACTTGTTTTGACAAGTGAGACTTGAATGACACCGTCTGTTGCACAGAAGATTGTTCTTATAGCATTTGCAATTCTTGGTTCCACATCTCTTGCTACCAGCACAGTTACACTTTACGAAACCCTGGCCTCCTGATAAAGACTCGGCTCCAACAGCAGTACGAAGGGATACTTTGATGAGGATCACAAAAATTCAACTTTACTTAAACGTAGATTTATAATTTGAAAGTATTCATTTAAAACTGGATAAATAATAATATGGTAAACGCCTCTTTAGGCAAACAGCCAATAATCTAACCTTATGCACTTGATACATGAGTAACCACAAAAATGGTTTCCATGGCACCTGTAGTGTTTGCCAGGGCAGGGTTCCTCACATGCACAGATGAGAGACACGTCTTGACAGTCCCACACTTTATTCATGACTACCCCATACAAGCCATGCCGCTTCCGGTCACCCAGATAATACAAGTGACACAACTTATCATCACTACAGCACCAATCAACCATTTTGCAAATCATGGCACGAATCATTGACAAGTACACATCACCTGTCAGTAGCAGGTATGGGATCCACAAGATGAAAGGACACACTGAAACCTAGGATCCATACTCACAATTAGCTTAAATATTTAAACCAAATTTGACCCCACATAGTTTTCTGTTGAATCTATGACATGATTTGATCCTTAGCAAAGTGTGAATAGTATAACTAAGCACGACAGTGGCAATACTATGTGTAGGTTAACACTAAAGTTATAGAAATACATGTAGGTAGATAAAACAGTGGTAATATTTTATGTGAGGTGAGGTGAGGTGAGGTGAAATTGGGTTTTACGTCGTGCTTGAGAATATTTCGCTCATATGACGACGTGCATGCGTGTGTATGTGTATGTGCGGCTGCTTGTACAAGCCCAGGCTTAGGCTGGGTTTATAGTGCTAGCCCACTGAGATGCCATGCCGCAGTGAAGCATGAATACCCCACTCAGACACATGATACTGACTCCGAGCCGACCAGTCCTTGATGTACCCATTAATGCCGAGCGCCAGGCAGGGACCAACAAGTAGTCTTTTGGGTTAACGCGGTCGGGTATCGAACCCGCGACCTTCCGCTCTCCGGGCGGACGCTCTAACCACTACACCACGGAGGCGGTCATATTTTATGTAGGTAAACACTGCACTTGAATTCAGATGAATAGTGTCACAGAAGAATATGAGTGAAAAAACGATCAAACTATGTGAAATGATCACATGACACCGGGTGTTCGCGACAAGGGTAAACAGCCACATGGCTACTTTCGACTCACTTATATTGATAAACCGTAGGCATAAATGGACAACAGGGTCATGTCATACGTAATTCGCAACGCCGTTTCATTATGGCAGCGTTGAACCTGTCCACGTCGTTTCAGCACCCCGGCTGTCGGCTACTACAACGACGACGACGTGCCCGACTTCCTTGTAAAGTTTTCTCGTGGACCTGGGTTTCCTGTCTACTATTACTCAGAGGTATTTGTGCTTGTGGTGGTGCAGGGAAACGCGTACTAGCAAACACTGTTGTGTCGAACGTTGATGTCCCGTTCATATGGTTGTCTCGAAGTGAAAGTTTAGCCACTTTGTATATCTTGTTTAGTCAACCCTGGATAACTCGAACCATCCAATAAGGTCCCTTAAAACATTCGACACAGCAGTGTTTGATTGTATTAAATGTACAAAATATATATGTATCACAAAAATACTTATTAAAGTAATCGTTTATAAACATTATTTATACATGAATGAATGATGCATTGGAAATAATACCTGATTGTATGTTGTGCGGTAGTCGACATACTTGCACAATCTACCATCATAGTAAAGACACAGGCAAAACAAGGAGTTATACTATAATCTCAAATTATAACGTAAAATGATAATATTCCCCGTTCACAGCGACTTTTGAAAATGTCTGTGGAATGAACAATATCCTTCTAATCGTTCCCCATACTCAACATACACAATTTGAGTCTTCGCTTTCTGGAAAGCAGATGAGAGTTACCTGCCCAAGCAGATTAGAGTTACCTGCCCAAGCAGATTAGAGTTACCTGCACAAGCAGATTAGAGCTACCTGCCCAAGCAGATTAGAGTTTCCTGCCCTTGCTCTAATCCGGCCTACTCTGACTGCATGTATCATCTTGCCATAGACTACAGTGGTGGACGGTAAGACAGGTGCCCCACTTCTGGACAAGCCAGTGAAGGACACAGTCGGAGCACAGGCCTCCTCCTTGACCATCAGCCTTGAGGGGAGGGGCAACGACATCTTCCTGTACTGGGTGGCCGACTGTGGACCACGAGGGAGGGGGAGGGCAGTTCACCTTTTTAAAAGGTAAGCCACACATCTGTAATCATTAGTGGACAGCTCCAGCCCCGTTAATGGAAACAAAAAGATAAACTGTTAACACTGCGTTCTGGGTGCTGTGACCCGTGAAGTTTCGAATTGGTCTTCAGCAACCCATGCTTGTCGTATGAGGTGACTCACCGGATGGTGGTCAGGCTTGCTGACATAGTTGACCACATGTCGTCGTATCCCAATTGCGTAGATCGACGTTCATAATGTTGATCAATGGATTGTCTGGTCCAGATTTGATTATTTACAGACCGCCGCCATATGGCTGGAATATTGCTGAGTGCGGCGTAAAACTTAACTCACACATGATGACAATCACTGGATTGTCTCGTCTAGATTCAATTATGTACAGACCGCCGTCAGAGTTGGAATATTGCCGAGTGTGGCGTTAAACAACAAACCAACCAATCTGAGAGCAGTGGAAGAAAGCCTACTATAGTTCACAATCAAACCTACCACTCTCGCAGACCAACATAGTGGATGTGGAATGGTGGACGGTCATGCAATGACATATAATTCACATGAACATATAATAGCTTCTGTGGAATAGGCACATATACAGCCTCAGAAGAATTCCAGCCAACAAACCTGATCTTGTCCTTTTTGATAAAGCCAATGAATTTATTTATGTCATTGAATTTTCTGTACCTTTTGACAGCAACGTCATTGGCAAGATTCAGGAAAAGCATGCTAAATATGCGGACCTCGCATTTGAAATGTCTCGCTTGCACCCCAAGTACACTGTCGCCAGGCTCCCCATTGTTCTCGGTGCCCTTGGTTTGGTACCTCCTGATCTCTTAGCGCAGATCAGGAGAGTGCCCGGGTTCTCCACCGGGAGCACAGCCCTTCTGACACTCTGAGTAATGCAGAAGGCTGCAGTGTTGGGGACGGTTCATATTCTCCGGAAAGTTCTTGGTGGGTTCGACTAGGCAGTGTTTCCTGGGAGAAGTCGCATTCGCTGTCTGGGCTGCGTGTAGAGGGGGCAAGGACCCTGAGCTGATGATGAGTCTTACCAGCCTGACTGTGCCAGGATCACCCGAACCCTCTCTGCTGCCTTTTTTATTTTCAATCTGTAAATAATAATAATAACAGTCCACTTGTAACGCGCTGAATCCATACACAGTCCATGTCCGATTGGAGATGACAATGATGACCTTGTAACCGGGTTTTCTTGGCTTTATCTATTATTTTATACAGATGACACCAAGACAGCTACGGGTGTGAGGCTTACGTTTATTATATACGATAGTCACCCTGTAATAAGAAACAACAGATAATATAGTATATGCATATTAAACATAATATAATATTATATATCATATCATCATCAAAGCAATACAATCATTTCTGTTACATTACTTACAACTATGTATTATTAGATGATACGATAGAAAATGCTTACAGTACATATTAAGTAAAATGGTTACACATACCCCATGTGTGGCACAAGGGTGAAAAACGTGATACCCTTGAAATGTCACCATTCATGATATGTCCTGCAGAAGAAAGAGCAGGAATAAATACTTAGAGTGACTAAATACACTGAATAACAAAAATGCACAGCTTATGCAATTCCATTAATGTAGATATACTAGTAACTTAGCATGTATACAAGATAATATTAAAATACAGTATTGCTTAGGTTTAAAGTTCAGCCTCTAAACCACATTCATTCAAAACATTAATAGAAATATATAATTCAATGTAAATATAATTACTTCTTAGATGCTTATTTATAATGCATAATCTTTGATTACTATTTAATCCTATTTAGAAATAAAGATGAATTATAAACTAACCTTTTGTGGTGATCTGTGAATACTCCCAGTGCAGTGCATAGTGAAATGGCAATATGGAGTTAGTCAGAGCAAGAAGGTAAAGTTTAAATTTGGCCAATCACAGGATCGCTTGGGGTGTGATTGATCAGCAGAGGGCTGGACAAAGAATGTAGTGGAGCTTGGGTTGTGATTGATCACTGAGGCCTGGGCTTAGAATGACAAACACACACCTCTGTTGAATAAAGTTCAACAGAAACAAAACTTGAAATATATTTATTTACAAAAATAAGACTAAAATACAAATATATACACCTGCTACACACTTCCCCCCGGGATGAAAATGATGTCCTCATCATTTGCCTAAAACAAGGGAGAGAAATGCATTCTGTACATCAGTACTGTCGTTGGCGAGCATTCCAGCGTTGATAAGAGAACTGAGATACTCAGCTCTGATCTTCCAGTCGGGATGTGGAACTGCAGACATTACATACTCACCGCTAGACATCCACCGTGGCTGTGTCCGAGTCCTCCCTGATCTTCTGGGTTGCTGTGCCGGCACATCTTCAACTGACTCAGGATCATCTTCCACATTGGCAGGTTCTTCTGGGGCTGCACCAGGATCTGCGTCAGTGGTCTCCACATCTGATGTCTCTCTGCAGCAGGATCAGCCTCAGCTGAAATATCTTCAGGCTGGTCTGGCTGGCTCCCAACTGCGTCTCCAACTAAATCGTCTTCGTCCAATGCAAAGTCTTCAACTTCTGCTCTAGCCTCAGTTGGCCTATCAGCTATATCCGCAGCTGACACTGACGGCTCAGACGATGGGAAATATATGTCTGACTCGTCATCCTCTGGTTCCTCGACTGGAACAGCAAGTCTCTTTGATCTTCTTGGTTTCGGGATAGGTCTCGGTGGCTCTGGTGCTAGTGAATCCGGTACAGGGAGTGCACCAATGGGAAGTAGAAGATTCCGGTGTAAAACTCTCTTCCTACCTTCACCATTCTCCTTTCCGACCACATAGACAGGGATGGAGGGGTTCGGTTGACGAAGAACTGTATAAATGTCACCTTCCCATCTGTCTGCTAGTTTGTGTCTTCCTTCAAAGGCGACGGTTTTAACCAGAACTCGGTCACCAGTCTCTATAATTGCTGCTCTTGCCTTCTTATCAAAGTAGGTCTTCTGATCCTGCTGTGCCTCCTTGCTGTTCTGTGAAGCTAGATGATATGCCTCTTGGAGTCGATCTCTTAATGACTTTGTGTACTGCTGCAGTGACTTGGGCTTGCTTGGCTGGATGTCAAGTCCAAATGCTAGATCCACTGGAAGTCTTGGGTGACGCCCAAACATAAGGAAGAAGGGGGGAATGTCCGGTAGACTCATGCCGAATGCAATTGTATGCATGGACTAAGGGTCCAACATGAGCCTTCCAGTCCCTCTTGGCGTCTGGTTCCAGAGTCCCCAACATATCACATAGGGTCCGGTTGAAGCGTTCACACATCCCATTACCCATGGGATGGTAGGGTGTTGTGGACGACCTATTGATCCCAAGCAGCAGGCACAGCTCTGACATCAGCTTACCAACAAAATTGGCTCCTTTGTCGGAATGAATCCTCTTGGGCAGACCGTAATGGATGATAAAGTTGTTGAAAAACAAGTCTGCTGTCGTCTTGGCTGATGTATTCCGACAAGGATAGGCTTGAGCGTACCGGGTGAAATGGTCAGTAATGACCAACACATACTGTTGACCACCCTTGGATGGCTCCAGAGTCAAGAAGTCCATGCAGACCAGTTCCATAGGCTGCAACGTCTGGATGCTCACCAAAGGGGCTCTGATGGATGTGTTTCCCTTCCTTTTCAGACACCTCTCACATATCTTCAGGTAGTCATCTACATCCTTGGTCATACCAGGCCAGTAGAAACGTTCCTTGAGTAGGGATAAGGTCCGATCTCTGCCTGGATGTCCTACACGATCATGCAAGCTTCTGAGTGCTGAAATCCTACATCTGGAAGGTAGCACTAGCTGTTCTTGATCACATCCATCCATGCTGGTGACTCTATATAACACACCTTCCCTCAAAGTCAAATGTGCAAATGTCTTCAATAAAGTAGTCATCTCTGGGTCTCCTTGGAACTGAGTTCTGTCAGGTCTTGTGGCATTCTCCAGATGCTCCATGATAACAGCAAGGGATGTGTCCTTCAGCTGAGCACGGCGCCAATCCTTTGCGTTGGCAGCACACACATGGTCACTTACATCTGCTTCAATTCCTGGAACCACTTCTGTAGACAAGCACAAACTCTCAACAAGATTAGGTGCACAAATCTTGTTACAAATAGCACTCACCACATCACGAGACAGGTCTTCCATCTGGGACTGGGTCTTTGCTGGGCAAACGAGACAACACATCAGCATCAACGTTGTTCTTCCCTGGTCGGTACTTGATGGTAAAGTTGTAACTTGCTAGAGCAGCTAACCACCGATGTCCTGTGGCGTCCAGACGTGCTGTAGTAAGTACATACGTCAGGGGATTATTGTCGGTCATTACTACGAAATCATTGCCATACAAATAGTCGTGAAATTTCTCTGAAACGGCCCATTTCAGACACAAAAACTCGAGTTTATGCGCTGAATAGTTCCGTTCAGATCGATTCAAACCCCTACTTGCATAGGCAATAACTCGTAGGTGACCATCATGCTCCTGGTATAAGACTGCTCCTAGGCCATGGGTACTAGCATCAGTGTGCAGCTCGAAAGGTCTTGAGAAGTCAGCAAACCCAAGGACTGGAGGTGATGAAAGTCTGTTCTTCAACTCCTGGAAAGCTTCTTCTTGAGCAGGACCCCAGTTCCAAGCAGTTTGGGATGTCTTAGACCTCGACTTCTTGGTGGCACACTTCGGCATAAGTTCTGAGAGGGGTCTGGCGATCTTAGAGAAGTCCTGGACGAATTTCCGATAGTATCCAGCAAATCCCAAGAATTTCCGGATGTCTTCTGGAGTAGATGGTGTTGGCCAGTGCTGAATCTTGTCTATCTTCTCTGGATCAGCTTCAATCCCCTCAGCAGACACAATATATCCAACGTACCTCACCTTTCTCTTAAAGAACTTGCATTTCTGTGGGGCGAGCTTCAATCCACATTCTTGTAATCTTCTAAAGACGAGCTCCAGCCTCTCCACATGCTCCTCGTATGTCCGGGAAAATATGATGAGGTCATCTATGTATATAAGGCAGATCTTCAAGTTGAGTCCCTCTAGGCACTTCTCCATAAGGCGCTGATAGGTCGCTGGGGCGTTTGAAGCCGAACGGCATCCTGTTGTACTCGAAAAATCCGAGTGGACCTACAGTAAAAGCCGTTCTCTCCTTGTGGTCATCATCTATCTCAACTTGGTAATAGCCGCTCTTCATATCCAGCACTGAGTAGAACTTGTTCCCTCCGAGACAATCTAAAAGTTCTTCAATTCTCGGGAGAGCATAACTGTCCTTAATTGTCCGGTTGTTCAGCTGGCGAAAATCTATACATAGACGTAAACGGCCATCTTTGCGCTTGGCTAACACAACGTTGGAAGCCCATGGACTATGAGAGTGTCTAATCACACCAGAGGACAACAGTTCTTGAAGATGACTCCGAACCTGATCATACATTGCTGGTGGTATACGCCGATGTCTCTGCTTGAAGGGCACGTCATCATAGAGTTCTATCCGATGCTTGACCATGTTGGAATGTCCAAGATCTTTATCATGTTTAGAGAAGATGTCACCATATCTCCTAATAACCTCCAGTCCCTGTGCAGCTTCATCATGTGTAAGTCCATCTTCCTCCAACTCAATGTCGTCAATCCACTTCTCAGAGTCTGAACATCTCATGTCTGGTAGGTCTTCTATTGTCACAGGTTGAAGTTCACACAGCAGAGCCTTAGTTGGAACAATCATGGTCTGGGTAGTAACATTAGACACATGAACTTGTATCTCATCTGGTCTGTCATGGCAGTATCTCACAACGACTGGTATGATGTCTAAGTCCTTAGAAATAGTAGAGTCTACAGTTGGCTGTATAAGGGCACACACTTGTGGATATGGAATCCCTTTGCACAGTTGTCCACGGATGATGGCAGAACCATTAGCAGGTATGATTACAGGCTTATATTCAATGGATCTAACAAAGCCCAACTTCCCACCATTCTTCTCTAACTCCTTCTCTCGAAGCATCATACATCTAAAGGCCAGGTACCAAGGTGTGTAGAGGTTGGCCGTCTGAAGGAATCGGATTCCATTAACCTTTCTGCAGGCATCCAAAAGCACTCCAAGAACATTAGTCCCAAGAAGAGCAGGAACTTTGGCATTATAGCTGGTGTCAGGCACAACAAGTAACAAACAAGTGATGTCATCTTGGTCATCACAACCATCACCAATACCCTTGACCTTAACCTCAATGTAACCAGAGTAAGGTAATGAGTTTCCACCTGCACATTCAATATTAAGAAGGCTATCTACTGAATGTATGGGAATATGAGTGAGATACCTATCATAAAAAGAGCTAGACACAATAGACACTGTGGCACCTGTGTCCACTAACGCCCTAACCGGAATATTCTCAATAAGTATATCTACCTCATTTGAATTCCCAACTAAGTCAGTGTGTGCGAATACACGAGGGCTAGATGTAGCACCTACGGGCGCCCCCGGGCCATAGGCGTGGCCGAGTTTAAAGGCCTCTTAAGATGGTCAAGACGTACACGACAACCATAATACAAATGTCCGGGATAGCCACACCTGAAACACACAGGCTCATGATCCGATGCTTGTCCTGGTGTGAGAGATCTGTTGTCGTTAGCTCCAGCCCCAGGTTGATAGAAATAGGAAGGGGGCAGCGGCATTCCTTCCCTCGGGAGATGGAGCAGGATACTTGCTGGATCGAGGATCATACATAGCTGGCTGATATCCTCGTCCTCCCCGTCCGCGACCTCTTGTTCTCGGTGGCCCTCTCCCATACTGCTGTCCGTGGGTGGTAGAACCAAAGGGAGATTGTTGCTGGTACACTTGGGCTGACAGCTGCTGATGTTGGTCACGTAGGTCGCATACACTCGTGGTCAGATCCTTGATCATCCCCTTCAGCTCAGCGATGTCATCAGGCTTAGAGACGGGCTGGTTACTGGCCATGTTGACGGATGCGGGCTTCGACTTAGACTTCTGGATATCTGATCTGGCTCGGTTCTGTTCAAATTCTATCTCACGGAGGCACAGTCTAAGCTCATCAAAGTTGGAGATACTCTCATATTTATGAGCAGCAAGACTCTTCAGTGAAGTCTTCAATCCATCCCAAAGTCTGGACCTCAACATCTCATCCTGCTCTGCTAAAGAAATCTGCTTCTGTTCCGCTAACTGGTATAACAGTCTCTCAAGTCGACAGCTCCAGGCAGTTACGTCTTCGTCATTTTGCTGGTAGGAGCTGTAGAACTCCGAAAATAATGAAGAACTTCGGCGGAGAGTACCAAAAGCACTCTTCAACTTCAACAGAACATCCACAATGGAAGCATGATGACCAAGTTTCATCACAATAAGAGCCGCCTCACCCTTCAGTGACTGACGAATAGCCTGAAGGATAACAGAGTTGTCATGGGCCTTGGACTCCATCAGACAATTCACCTCATACCGCCAAACATCATAGTCAGCATCCTTGCCGGCCGTTCCACTAAACAAAGGAAGTTTAGGGAAGTGACGATAAGCAACCTTAGAACTAAGTGGCACCTGTTCTGGCTGAGAACCATCTAAAGTGGAGGCTTCTTCCTTCTTCACAACTGGACCACCCTGCGTGGCATACTGCTTCAACCAAGACTTAAAGTCATCGGGGTTATCGGCCTTAGGATGCAACCCCATCTTAGCAAAACTATCAACAAGACTAGCATATTCTTCTTCAGAGAAATTCATCTTCAAAGGCACAAGACTCCAAGTAAAGAATAAACAAAATCAGACATGGATCCAAGGCATGGATACAATGACTTGATGCAGTAGATGGTGGTTTGTGAATGTGTCAATAGCTACAAAGACGATGTGTTAATCCCATACAAAAGTAGCACATACAGTGAGGGTACAATAATTGTATTTTCAGCGGCAAACAAACAAATTAAAGGACATCAGTTGGGTTTATGTGGCAATGCAAGTATTACCCACATGGGTAATTAACAAGATTTGACCCTAAGATTAGATTATGCCATGGTTGGCAGATGCAGAATAATGAAATATGTGGACTACAATAACTATGAAGACCACAGTGTGTCGGAACGCGTGACAATATGTACAAAACGGGTCGCGACTCAAGGCAACGCCATCATGATGTAGACATTTCACGACAAACGCAAACGGAGCAAAATCATCGCAAACGCAAAATAATCACGAACGGCAAACGGATACAAAAGCAAAGGATGATAATTACAAATGGACCCTACATAATGAATGAATATAGACCACAGGCAAAGAGGGAGACAAAGAAAGCGAATGAGCTGGTTAGATATTTGAACTAAGTGTAGTGCAGTGCAGTTAACTATGACATTTATATTCTAAGATAAAACTGAAGTTTAATGCTAAGTTTATTTAAAACTAAAGTTTATTTGGCTAAGTTTATTGATTTAAGTATATTCACACAATCATACTCACACGTCACACCTAAAACAATGTAAATGATTAAAGAGACTACAGTATGGAAATAAGCGAGAACACAAGTGAAGCTTGTACAAGCACAACAAAATGCTAACTAACTAAGCTGCAGCTAAGTATAAAGAAACGCAAATTGATATGGATATGTGTACACCAAATGAAAATAAATGCAGTTGACACTACATCTTATTGAGGGTAAATAACCTGCAGGTAATATGTAAACAAAAGCAATGCTACAAACCGTAAAGGTATTTAAAGAAACAACAAGGAGTTATGCCAGGCAAATATTTACAAGTTCATAATGGACAGAAAATTCGAAGATGAATGTTTACAGACATGTCAAATGTAAACAAAGTCAAAGCAATATTGCAAAAAAAAATGTAGAAACAGTACTTACAGTTCAAGATGAACAATATAAATATATCCAATTAAAGACGAGAAACAAAATAGTCCGGAAAATGAGTCACAATTCACAATCACCAAACCAAGTACAGCAAATTGTCAACTTGACCTGCCTTGGAGTCTCTGGGTCAAGGTCGCTGTCAAAGTTCAGTAAGTCCTAGGGTCACAAGACCCAACAACATGGACCTGACAGTCACTCGTGTGATGGCCAAATCGACCATAATTACAGTTCTTTCACAAACTTGCATTCCATGCGGGTATCCAGGCATCACATAAGTTCCTCACTGGGGCTCCAAACATGTAACCGGGTTTTCTTGGCTTTATCTATTATTTTATACAGATGACACCAAGACAGCTACGGGTGTGAGGCTTACGTTTATTATATACGATAGTCACCCTGTAATAAGAAACAACAGATAATATAGTATATGCATATTAAACATAATATAATATTATATATCATATCATCATCAAAGCAATACAATCATTTCTGTTACATTACTTACAACTATGTATTATTAGATGATACGATAGAAAATGCTTACAGTACATATTAAGTAAAATGGTTACACATACCCCATGTGTGGCACAAGGGTGAAAAACGTGATACCCTTGAAATGTCACCATTCATGATATGTCCTGCAGAAGAAAGAGCAGGAATAAATACTTAGAGTGACTAAATACACTGAATAACAAAATGCACAGCTTATGCAATTCCATTAATGTAGATATACTAGTAACTTAGCATGTATACAAGATAATATTAAAATACAGTATTGCTTAGGTTTAAAGTTCAGCCTCTAAACCACATTCATTCAAAACATTAATAGAAATATATAATTCAATGTAAATATAATTACTTCTTAGATGCTTATTTATAATGCATAATCTTTGATTACTATTTAATCCTATTTAGAAATAAAGATGAATTATAAACTAACCTTTTGTGGTGATCTGTGAATACTCCCAGTGCAGTGCATAGTGAAATGGCAATATGGAGTTAGTCAGAGCAAGAAGGTAAAGTTTAAATTTGGCCAATCACAGGATCGCTTGGGGTGTGATTGATCAGCAGAGGGCTGGACAAAGAATGTAGTGGAGCTTGGGTTGTGATTGATCACTGAGGCCTGGGCTTAGAATGACAAACACACACCTCTGTTGAATAAAGTTCAACAGAAACAAAACTTGAAATATATTTATTTACAAAAAATAAGACTAAAATACAAATATATACACCTGCTACATTGCATGTGCATTCTGGTGATAAAATTCATAACGGACGAATGGGATCGGGATGGGCGGACTCCCTGGCCTTAGTCATAGTATCCCAGCTGTGTAGATAGTAAGAGGCGACTAACAGGATTGAGTTGTCATGCTCATGTCATCGTGTGCCAGTTGATCTATGCTCATGCTGTTGATTGCCTGGCCAAGACTTGATTAAATTTACATGCCACGGCAATATAGCTGGAATATTGCTGAGTGCGGCGTGAAACAACCAACCAACCAACCAACCCTGGCTTCGCTGTGCATGTCATCGTATCCCAGCTGTGTTGATCGCTGCACTGATGATGCCAGTCACTGGATTGTCTGGTCCAGACTCGATTATCTACAGACCGCAGCCATAGCTGGAATATTGCTGAGTGCCGTGTTAAACAACAAACAAATGAAAAGACGAGGATTTGTGGTTTTTACTTACAGTTATAGTCCGTTTGGCTCAAAAGCGGACCGATGAATTGCAATCTAACTCGAAAACTTATAAACATGAAATACTCAATGAAACACTGATCATAATGAAAACGTCAGACCAACTCTGAGAGGTGTTTGCAGAATTTATGTCCTAAAAATAAAAAAGTTGTTTAACAAACTATCATTAAAATATCGACACAGTTCACTATTTGTTACGAGGGAGGAGTGCAGAGAAAGGGACTGCCGGATGTGCGAGAAAGGATGGAGACAGCACAGCACAGGTTAATGAATCAATAACTTTGTCGGCACTTGTGCACGTGCTTCTCTAACACCTGGCTGTCCCTTTCTCTGCACTCCTCCCTCGTAACAAATAGTGAACTGTGTCAATATTTTAATGATAGTTTGTTAAACAACTTTTTTAATTTTAGGACATAAATTCTGCAAACAAATCACAGAGTTGGTCTGATATTTTGATTATGATCAGCGTTGCATTGAGGATTATATGTTTAGTAGTTTTTGAGTTAGATTGCAATTCATTGGTCCGCTTTTGAACCAAACGGACTATAGTCAGGTTACAGTCACGATGAATTCATTCCCTCATTATTTATATGGATTAGCTAAACGTATACAGCTAAATATATACTAATGGAATGTTGAACAGACCAAAGTTCCCATTCTACACATTGTACACACCTTCATCAAGCATCTTACGCCGTCAGTGAGGCGACGTTGTCGAGCTAATAGCTTTCATGGTACAAAGCCGATTTGTGCACTGACCTTGGTTTAGCGACCCTGAGCTACTTTCAGAGTAAGATGGCGTTTACAGAGGACACGTTGACACGTTCATGTATAAGGTCTCCTGCACGAAAAGGGGCGGTGGGGTAGCCAAGGTGTTAAAGCGTTCGCTTGTCAAGCCGATTATCCGGTTCGATTCCTGAAGTTGGTACAAAGTGGGAAGCCCATTTCTGGTGTCCCCCGCCATGATATTGCAGGAATATTGCTAAAAGCGGCATAAACCCAAAGTCACTTTCTCACTCCTGCGAAAATTTGTTTTATTTGTTATGTCCAATGGCAGTCAATGGTGAAGAGAAGACGTATTTCCACTGAACTTGTGGTTATTTCAGGCGAGAGACAGCGTGTGGAACACTCGGCCTGGATCAACACAAGTAAAGAGGCTCTGGACTTCATTGCGTCTCATCCAAACCTCAACAGCCATTATGACAAGTATATCTTGAAGGCTAAGGGCCTTTGGAAGGTTCGTGTTTTAGCCTCAAAGCTCAATTCTGTTGTGCGTTTTGGTACCTAAGTTATACTGTTAGTCTATCTCACGGTCCGTGAATCTCATTATTTTTCCAACTGCCAAACCCTCCTACAATGTTAAATGAAACAAGTCTAGATTTCATAAGCTTCTTAATCTAACATTTCACTGGGGCTCCGTTTCAATGTATTTTAAATGCCACTATTTGTTACTATCAAAATAGATATATTCAAAGACTATTTTATTGTCGATTACATTGTAATAAAGAAGTTGTATATCCAGACAACTTGCCCTGTTAGTTCATCTGGAGTCATCACTGATGATAGGTGATCTTTTCGCAGCTATTTACCCTTATGGAAATCTTACAGGAATCTGTTGATTGTCTCTGTGCACTATATAAATACTGTGTATTCTCTTGCAGCCAGAAGATGACACCATTACCAGTGACGACAGGATGCCATCACTTCCTGTCCAGACTAAAGAATTCATTTCCCCAGATGCAAACTACCGCAATGAACAGACATCCAGCCGAAAGAAAGGAGCTCAAATACCGACAAGACAGGAACTGAACAGAAATGGACAGGTGCTCGGATCCAGAGACAGGATTGGTTTGGGAAGTCCAACTCGGAACGGGAACAGAGATGACGGGAATTCTAGAAATGGCTACATGTCAACGGGAGACAACTCTCCACGACGGAACCAATATGACACGGACTACTACCAGCTTCCGTATGACTTAAACACGGACCCTCAGTATCCGGGTTATTACCAGAGAGATGATGATGATTATGATGATACTGATAGATACCGTCAGGATTACCCTAAATATAAGTTGTCTCAGAAGAGATCTCACCCAGAGGAAAAATTTCATTTTATGAGGAAGAAGCGAGAAGCTGAGATAAATGACAACGATTTCATGAATGTTGAAAAATTAAAAGATTTAAATGTAAAGCTCCTAAATGAAATTAAGAAGAGGGAGATGGGATACGATAGACATCGGGGACAGTACATGAGAAGGAAGAAACGAAATAGTAACAAATTGAAATCGCCCGACCATTCAGAAAACCGGAGGCGGAAGAGACGCCATGTTGGTCCACATGATGCAGATGGCCTTCAGAGGCTGATATCAACGGGAACTGTTGCCCCGTCAACTTTACCACTTGATCATCCAGATTATAATCATACCATGGATTATATTTTTGCTACCTATTGGTTTTACCCAGCGAAGACACATGCAATTTTACCCAAGGATCAGAAATGCATATCTAACCACATGGCAAACGAGAAGATTCGTTTTGATCCAAAAAGTAAGTTATGTATTGTTGATATATCTGAAGTCAGTTACATTCAGAATTTCTACTCATCCAACGTTCTGTCAAATGAAGATAACACAATTAATATAGTCCACAAATACAGAATACACAAAAGCCTTTATTAAGAAGCGATCGCTTGACTAAGTTAATGAGTTAACATTTAAAGTCACATCGGCGGTATTTGAGCCATATCGTGACTAAAACAAGTTCTAAGTTTATGATACATACAGTTAAATTATGACGAAGGACAGTAGAATGAACAGGAATATCACAGAAACTGAATTTGGAACTAGCACATATCTTTAAAATTGTATTTTTATCAGAATAATATGATATATAAACAGGCTGTAGATCCCCAGCAATGAAGGTAGATCCCCATACTAGGGACCGATCGAATGAAATATGAGAAGACACGAGGTAACCTATAGCTAGAATTGTTAATATATTCAGTGTCTGTCAACTTCTTTAGGTGAGTACTACGGTTTGGACCACGACAACTATGAACGTGTAATCACCCAAGACTGCATTAAAAACAGCGGTCATGAACTGCCTGATGACGGTGTGTACGAGAGCCAGGGCGATTACAACCCGCTGAACATCCACATGGGCCAGATGACAGTGTATAGGTAAGGTAGGATAACTCTGAAGAAGTATTGTCTTGCTGTTTAAAGCCGCACTCAGCAATACTCCAGCTATATGACAGCGGTCTGTAAATAATCGAGTCTGGACCAGACAATACTGTGATCACAATCGTAGGCATCGATCTTCGTGATTGAGATACCATGACATAGGTCAACCAAGTCAGCAAGCCTTAGTACCCGATCCCGTTAGTCGCCTCTTACGACAAGCATCAAAACGACGGAAATTTGAGTTTTACATGAAATTCTTAGCGCGATCTCCAAGGAAATTGGCAAAGGCAGCTCACATTCCAGCATCTCCAGTATATTCCATTTCTTCAAACTAGCCAGAAACAGTCATACATTCATCTATTTAATTAAGGTACTTCCATTTTGGAAGAGTGGTCAAGCTCTTTGAGCTGGTGCACGTCCGGGAGAAGTGTTATATTTGCTAACTCGAAGTGATCGGTGGCTTGCAGCTCTCCCCTGCAACTGTTTCTCAACTTCGCCATAATTCTGCTTACATCCAAGGTTCCTCAGTATACTACGGGGCGGCGGCGTGGCCTCGTGGTTAAAGCGGTCGCGCGTCACGCCGAAGACACGAGTTCAATTCTCCACATGGGTACAAAGTGTGAAGGCCATTTATAGTGTCCCCCGCCGTGATATTGCTGGAATATTGCTAAAAGCGGCGTCAAACTTTAAGTCACTCTCACTAAGCCACAAAATTTGAAATACAGCTAATAAAAATGCAATAATAAATTATAAAAACACACTATATACTCCGAGAGCGGAAAGGCCAATGAGACTCACTCACTCACCACTATACTCCAGTTATAGAAACAAGTCAATAATAATCATACATGCATCTGTTTATCACATTCTTGAGTAGGTCGATCAATCTGCCATTTTGCCTCTCTCCCCTGCCATTGTTTCTTAACTTCACCATAATTCTGGTTTTCAGGGTCCGTATCAAATGCACGTGTCAAAATACAACCATGTCAGAGCCCCAGAACAAGAACAAGAGATGCTCTCAGATGCTTCCATACGACCAACAGGCGTGGCCGTCCTATATGGGGAGATACGCTGATAGCCACTGGATGGGGAACTGATGTATCGTGCAATTTCCACGTAACTATCTCGGATGAAAACATGTCAATACTACCATACGGTGTCAGGGGATGCTGCTAACGGTGTCAGGGGATGCTGCTAACGGTGTCAGGGGATGCTGCTAACGGTGTCAGGGGATGCTGCTAACGGTGTCAGGGGATGCTGCTAACGGTGTCAGGGGATGCTGCTAACGGTGTCAGGGGATGCTGCTAACGAACATTACTGACAAGGAAAACCAGATGATGAGAAATGGGTGAAAACCTGTTTTCCATGTAATGTATTAATGTGCATTATCAGGAGAGATCCCGATCGATGGATGAATACACAAAAATCTGCATTATTTACTTGAAAAAATGGGTTTTGGTTTTGTTGCTGTTTAAGGCTGCAAACAGCAATATTCTAGCTACATATCGGCTATCTGTAAATAATCGAGTCTGTAGCAGTAAATCCAGTGAGTAATTGTGATACGATGACATGTGTCAACTTAGTCCGCAAGCCTGACCACCCGATCCCGTTATTCGCCTTTTACTGCAAGCAAGGGTTGCCGAAGATCAATTCTAGCCCGGATCATCACTGGTCTGAAAATGTCGGAGTAGCATGGAACCAGTGTTACAGTATATCATTAATAATCATTAATATTGGTGTTCTTGAGACTTTGCGAACGGTCGTACAACAGAATTTGCATCACTTACACTGCGTTGTTTAACATTCAAACTATTCCCAAAGAAAAGATAGAGTGCATGTTTTTCTCAGTTGTGTGACTACAGTGTGGTTATCGGAACTGAGGAGGATGTACTCCTATGGCCTTGAAGAACCTAGCCATCTTCTTTTGGATGATTAACCATGCCTCTCCATGAAACGTGAAACTATGGTTGTCACGTCCAGTCGTATATTGTGAATGAGCTACCTGATCCACTGGCATTAAAAGAATGTCCACATTATGAGGGCCTCGGCTGCTATGATCCATGGCATGACACCTGTGTTGTTCAGCTGCAACCTAGGTTTCCGTTACTGTAAAACAGGACATGGATGTATAGGCGTATTCTCACTGGCAGTTAGAACGTGCTTCTGGAGTCAGAGCCGTGTGAACACACAATTAAATATATCAGACGTCCAAATACGTTCACATGGACAAAAAAGCAGTGCTTGTGTTCGTCAGACCTTTGTGAATAAATTTGGAGATGTATCTCCACAGACGTTCACATGGACAAAGAAACGGTGCTTATCGTCAGACCTTTGTGAATACAGCTTGGGCATTCACACGGATAAAGATGCAGTGCTTGTGTTCGTGAGACCCTGGTGGTTACCCTTTGAGCTGTCTCTACACAGACATCCCCAATGACAAAAAAACAGTGCTTGTGGTTGCAAGACCCTTGTGAATAACGTTTGAGCTGTCTCTACACAGACATCCCCAATGACAAATAAACAGTGCTTGTGGTTTTAGACTCTTGTGGATAACCTTTGATTTGTAGCTCACAGTCATCCACATGGACAAAGAACAAGTGCTTGCGGCTGAGCTGGAATTCGCGTGTATATATACGTCATGAACTATGAACTCGTGGAATATAACAGTGCTCCTTGTGTTTTGAGTTAGGTTAATTCACATTCACTAAAGCAACTCATCATATGTTATTCCCTTGATCAACTGGCCAAGTTGTGGATGTGTAATGTTTCTTCTGTTGATTACTGCAATTACGTGCAAGGATTCCCCATATGGGTACAATATGTGAAGCCCATTTCTGGCTTCCGATATGTTTGTTTGGATATCGCTAAATGAGGTGTAAACAAATTCACTCACTGTGTTGACAATTGGAAGTGCGTCCAAAGACAACAGCTGACGAAAACATAGGATCCCAGCTCCATATTTAACAAACCGTTATCTGACATCGCGCATATAGTGTTTTAAGTAATCCTTGTTCAGTGGGGAATGCCAGAAATGAACTTCACATGGTATCTTTATGAGCAACCATTGTTTGGGGCTCATTACGACTTGTTCGTACATAATATACTGGACAAAATAAGTTAAAGATGTTGGTATTTTTATGATTGATATTTTATTAGTTTGTCAATGAATAAATATATCATTCATAATTTCAAAATGTACATATATCCCTAACAATTTTTGTCCAGTATATGTCGTCTAGGGATCAATACTCCACAACGTTTATAGCCAAGGTTGTGTGGATCAACAGCGGACTTGCTGAATACATTAATATGATTACCTGATGATTTAAGACGTCGTAATAATGCTGTTTGATCTATGCACTCTGATTGTGTTGTCCTAGACTGGTAGTTGTGTCTTGTGGTATATATATCTAAAACGCCGTACATCAAAATACACTTATGTCGTCTCCAGTAAAACATAAACAGAATAGTGGATTGTTAAATTATCAGTAAGATTTGTCAGATTATAGGTTCATTGTTTTTGGAGGCGATTTGTCAATGTATGTATATCATGTAATTTGTTTGTTGTCAAATGCTGCACTCAGCAATATTCCAGCTATATTACGGCGGCCTGTAAACAATCGAGTCTGGACCAGACAAACCAGTGATTAACAGCATGAACATCGATCAACTCAGTTGGAATCAGATGACATGTGTCATCCAAGTCAGCGAGTCTGACCACCCGATCGCGTTAGTCGCCTCTTACGACAAGCATGGATCGCTGAAGATCAATTCTAACCCGGATCTTCACGGATCGTTGATAATGTTAAACTTTGTTGTAGCAACCAGATAGTTATATCCTGCAGTTGTCCTCTGCCAAAATATTGTTATTCTTAATTTGAGCATATTCATCCAAACTTTAAGGATCTTATAATGTCTTTGAAGAGTAAAAAGAACAAATAGCTCAGAAGTATGTGTCACTCAAACTACATGTGAATGTCAGGATCACATGTGTATACATGCAGTAACTGTTACATTGTACAGTTTGAACAACTTTATGTGGCCAAAATGTCTCACACGTGACCATTTAAAGATTTAATAATTGGCACTAAGGGATATACAAGTGTGTAATGCATGAGACATGTTTTTTCGAACGCGAATTACTGTTCGGCGATGTTTTTATCATTCGTTCCTTCAGTGTTTCATGCGACAAGTAATTAGGAGATTATGAATTAGGTGTAATAAGGAGATTATTTTCAATGTTGCGGTCATTTATCGTTGATTTATGACCTCTAAATGTATTTATAAAACCGAACGCTAATAAAAATCGAGTATCACTCAGTGGAATGTATGTGGGATGACATTCGAGTATAAATTTACTGAAGGTTAAATCGAAAAATTAAACTTTAACTGAATAACATATTTCTGTGTCAACGTCTATGTCCAATAAGTGTCTGTGTACTGGCGGCTTTCAAGAATTTCAGCCTGAGCAGATATATAACTATATTCCTGCACGCAATTGGTAAGCTGTGTGTAAACAAATATAAATAAGATATGAATATATGTATTGATTATATTCAATATGCCTATTTTTGATCGCATATAATCCTCGCACTAATGAACTTGGAATAAAATGTGTATATTTTTGTGAAGTATTATGTGTCCTGTCATATTGATCTCCGTGATGGTGGAGCGGTGGGGTAGCCCAGTGGACCAGAAGACCCGGGTTCGATTCTTCACATAGGTACGATGTGTGAAGCCCATTTCTGGTGTCCCCCGCCACCGTGTTATTGCTAAAAGCGGCGTTAAACCATACTCATTCACTCACTCACTCAGTGAAGTTATCTGATTACCCGAGCGTCTGTCCATCCACTGACAGAGGCCGTGCGGTAGTCCAGTGGTTAAACCGTTTATCCGCCAGGGTTCGATTCTCCTCATGGGTACAATGAGTGAAGTCCATAGCTGGTGTCTTTCCACTGCGATCTGTGGCGTTTAAAATGACAGGACTGCCACTTGTCTATTTCAGAGTGAGTGAGTGAGTTTAGTTTTACGCCGCACTCAGCAATATACCAGCTATATGGCGGCGGTCTGTAAATAATCGAGTCTGGACCTGACAATCCAGTGATCAACAGCATGAGCATTGATCTGCGCAATTGGGAACCGATGACATGTGTCAACCAAGTCAGCGAAACTGACCACCCGATCCCGTTAGTCGCCTCTTACGACAAGCATAGTCGCCTTTTATGGCAAGCACATGGGGTTTACCCCGGATCTTCACGGGTCGTCTATTTCAGAAGTGGTCAGATACCGGAATAGACATTAACAAGTTGTGAAAAAATTTCCAAAGAATGATGGAGTCATAAGAGGCTCAAAAGATGGAGAGACAATAGGGTGAGTGAGTGAGTATAGTTTTACGCCGCACTCAGATATATTCCAGCTATATGGCGGCGGTCTGTAAATAGTCGAATCTGGACCAGACAATCCATTGATCAACAGCATAAACATCGATCTACGCAATTGGGATAAGCCACAAGAAAAATTACTAAATGTGAAATAAATAGAAATAACTCCTTGTCGAAAAAATATATGGGTCCAGATTTCGAACTCCCGATTTACACACTAACCACTAGGTAAAATAACATCAAAAGCCATGTGCAAATCAGGAATCAAGGGAAGCTCTGAGAAATAGTATTCATTGAACCAAATTTCGAACGCTTTCCTGATAATTGCTTAGATATGTATGCAAATGTTATTCATTAAATATCCGGACTGTAACTCAATTTTCGGCACCAATTATTATCCTGATTAAAATCACAACCTGTAACATATATAGGCTACCATGCGAGTGTGTTCTGATATAGTTAATAGTGAGTGTGTGAGTGAGTTACGACTTTTAGTCACATCGGCAATATTTCAGCCATATCGTGACTAAAGCAAGTTATAAATATATCAACAATTTAAGTGAAATTATAAACTTCTGCCAACGAAGGACAGTAAAATAACTAGATTATCACAGATATATATGTAAAACTAGTAATTGAATCTAAAACATTTTAACTATGGGGGACAACACAATATAAAAATGGGCTATATATCGCTAACAACACAAGGTAGATCACCATACTAGGGACCATGGGGACTTACAGTACATTTGCTTCCTGCATGGACCCTAGCTGGATTTACACCATCCCTTCAGCCGTCAGCAAGTTTTGACAAATTAGCCATAAGTTAAAATAACACATATTCTACGATTAAAACTAATGGTATATTTAAATTTAGTTTGAATGTTTTGGGACTTACGTACCCCCACAGGAGGACAATAATTTTACAGTGCTTCAACCCCCTGTGAGGATACAGCCACTAACAATCTCAGCTGCTCAATTAAACTACCAATTATAAAATATTTATCTATTTACAAATTCATTCAACAAATCTAATTCTTTTAAAAACGCAATAACTAAATGAGAACTGATATTATTAAAAAGATCCTTCATCGTTCGTGATTTGAATTAGATATCCCTTGTGATGGAATACTCAACACAGTCAAGCAAGACATGCTTGACCGTGATTCGTTCATCACAAGGGATACAAAACGGAGGATCTTCACCTTTTAATAGGTACTCATGCGTATATCTTGTGTGGCCAATACGACATCGTCGTATGATGACCTCTTCAAATCTGGACTGACAACCCAAGTAGGTGTAACCGATAGTTGGTTTTATTGCATGTAATTTATTAATACCTGCTTGGGTGTCCCACTTCTTTTGCATCAGATCACGGATGTAAGTTCTAATGCTAGCTTTGTAATCAGAGTATGGAATAAGAAGTGGTGTCACAGATTTGTTGAGTGGTGCCTTAGCAGCAATATCAGCCATTGTGTTCCCAGAAATGCCCAACGTGGCTGGGTAACCAACAAAAGACGATGTCGCATTGGCCAGTAGCAAGCTCATTAAACAATTCAAGAATTTCTAATAAAAGTGGATGATTGCAAGAAAGATTTTTAATCGCTGAAGGCAAGAAAGAGAATCTGAAAAGATGATATATTGTTTATATTTACGGTGTTTATTTACATATTTAAGAGCTGTTAATATGGCGTTAGCTTCTGCTGTGAAAATAGAACTGTTATTTAGTAGCCGAGAAGATATTGTTTGGGACCCAGTGACAGTGGCACAAGCCACCGCGCCACCATCCTTGGATCCATCCGTAAATAAGGATTTATATGTATTATATTTATTTCTTAATTGACTAAATTCTTGTTTATACTGTAAATCATTAGTTTCGGGATTTTTTAAATGTGGTTAATGTTAAGTCAATATCTGGCCTCACCAATTGCCAAGGAGGATAAGAAAGCAAACGGGAAGGAGCTATATTTTCCAGCTCAATGCCGGCAGCAGCAATGAATGGTTTAATTCTGTGCCCAAGAGGCGGAACAAAAGAAGACTTTTTTGTTGTACAGATCCTCATAGAGAGGATGGAAGACACAGTTATATGCAGGGTTCGACTGATTAGAAGATAGTTTAGTAATATACTGCAAAGACAATTTGATACGGCGTTGCTTGAGAGAAGGCTCGTCAGCTTCAACATAAATACTATCAATAGGAGAAGTTCGGAAAGATCCAAGACAAAGTCGGAGACCTTGGTGATGGACAGAATCCAGTAGTTTCAAATTGCTTTTACAGGCTCCACCATATACAATGGAGCCATAATCAAGTTTTGACCGGATGAGTGATCTGTACAAATGAAGGAGAGTAGTTTGATCCCCTCCCAACTTTGAATTGGACACGACTTTTAATAGATCTAATGCCTTCAGGCATTTAGTCTTCAAAGACTTAATATGTGGTAAAAAGGTCAAATGCTTGTCAAAAATCAGTCCCCAAAACTTGGCTTCCTTTACAACGTTAATTGGAGAGCCATCCAAGTACAGTTCGGGATCTTTATGAGGCTTATATTTTCGAAAGAAATGTATACATTTGGTCTTTATCTGTGAAAATTTAAAGCCATTCTCAAGTGACCATTTATGAATTTTATTTAAACACATCTGTAATTGTCTCTCGATGGTATGCATATTTTTACCACGACATGAAACGTTAAAATCATCCACAAACAATGACCCATCTATTGAGTCATTTAATACTTTTGAAAGACTATTGATTTTTATGCTAAACAAAGTAACGGACAAAATACTGCTTTGTGGAACCCCCTGTTTCTGCTTATAATGGTCAGACAGGGTTGATCCAACACGCACTTGAAATTGCCTGTCAGCTAAAAACTGTGATATAAAATGAGGCAAACGGCCTCTCAAACCAAAGTCATGTATATCTCTTAAAATACCATGTTTCCATGTTGTATCATAAGCTTTTTCTAGGTCGAAAAAGATTGACACAGCATACTGGTTATTTACAATGGAATTTTTAACAAAGGATTCTAGTCGAACCAAATGGTCAATAGTGCTTCTATTTTTACGAAAACCACATTGAATGTTAGTAATTAGATTATTAATCTATTATTGACCATGCGTTCCATGGTCTTGCAAACGCAGCTAGTTAATGAAATAGGTGAGTGAGTGAGTGAGTGAGTTAATATTTAACGTCACATCGGCAATATTTCAGCCATATCGTGACGAGAACATTTTACATTGTAATGGAATATGTATATATTATAAAACCTGTCATCGAAGGACAGTAAAGCAACTAGAGTATCACAGATATATATGTAAAACTAGTAATTGAATCTAAAACATATTAACTATAGGGGACAACACAACATAAAAATGGGCTATAGATCGCCAACAACTGAAGATAGATCACCATACTAGGAACCATGGGGACTTACATTACTTTCGCTACCTGCATGGATCCTAGTTGGATTTACACCATCCCTTCAGCAGCTGGCGATTGTATGACAAGTTTAGCCAAAATTTAAATGAACAAATATACTACGATTAAAAATCGGGTAAGCAAAAAGTTAACTTTGAAAGTTTTAGGACTGACGTACCCTCTCAGGAGGACAATTATTTTACACTACGTCAACCCCCTTTGAGGGTACAGCCACTAACAATCTCAGTTACTAATTCAAACTACCAATAATAAAATATATATCCATTTACAAATCACTTAACAAATCTAATTCTTTTAAAAAGGCAATAACTAAATGAGAACTAACATTATTAAAAAGATCCTTCAATGTTTTGACATTAAAATACTTATCCCTTGTGATGGAATATTCAATGCAGTCAAGCAAGACATGCTTGACCGTGATTCTTTCATCACAAGGGATACAGAACGGAGGATCCTCACCTTTTAATAGGTATTCATGAGTATATCTTGTGTGGCCAATACGACATCGTCGTATGATGACCTCTTCAAATCTGGACTGACAACCCAAGTAAGTGTAACCGATATAGGGTTTTATTGCATGTAATTTATTGATACCTACTTGGGTGTCCCACTTCTTCTGCATCAGATTGCGGATGTAAGATCTAATAGCAGCTTTGTAATCAGAGTATGGGATCAGAAGTGGTGTCACAGGTTTGTTGAGTGCTGCCTTGGCAGCAAGATCGGCCATTGTATTCCCAGAAATGCCAACGTGGCTGGGTAACCAACAAAAGACGATGTCGCATTGGCCAGTTGCAAGCTTATTATACAATTCAATAATG